TGTTATTGTTATTGTTATTATTATTATTTTTCGGTTTTACGATTACTTTTTCTCTTCTTTTTAATTACCTAATCAAGTTTTTAAAGGGGAGTAATAAAATAAATGTAAAGAACAAAAACAATTTTCTTTCGGGAAAAATAAAAGTTTCTGGAAATTTTCTCGTTTTCTTTCTCGCGTTCGAGACATTCCAGTTCGCTCCCATTTTTTTTCTCCAAAAAATTCGCGATACGGGATTAAAATAAATAACTCACCGCCAGAGTGTGACGTGTTTCCGGTAATGAAATGTTGATTCCGCCTTCTTTCTCTCCTCGCGTGAGACGTGGGTTGTTGCAATGCCTGAAGTCCGGGAGCGGAAACGGCTCTCTTGGGTGAATTTGCAATTATCCTACTGAATCCCGGGGGACGGTATCTCGCGCTTTTCGCGTTCGGCAAAAAATGTTGCACGGATTGAGCTTTGGATAAATTTTGACCGTTGACACTGTTGTTCGTCGTCGTGGGCAATCGCGGGAGGGAATTCGTGTTTTGGGATGAGGCTATAGATTGAAGGTTACGCGGGAGAGTTATGGAACGCTCGTGCATCAATTCCGAATCGGATGAATCTTCGTCGCCGTCCGCCGAGGCTCCAGATCCACCGGAAGCACCCGCAGCATCCGGCACTGAACTCCTTCTCCGACCGTTTTTATTATCACGTCCCGTCGTCCAAATGTTTTTGTCTTCCATCGTCGTCGCTCCGCCGATGCTCCCGCAACTCCTCACTCTATCCAACTGTTCACGACTTAGACTTTTTATGAATAACAAATCTCCCGCGGATCTTCTTTTCGCGGCGAGGTTCGTGTTCGACGAGTGACCGTCGTTCGACAGTAGAGTCAGTTTTGATCTCGAGTCAGCCATCAAAGCGCTCTCGAAACTTCCTCTCCACGAAAACCTTTCGTAATCGCTCGCTTCCTTTTCCTCGGCTATATCACTCACGCCCGAACTCGAGGACCTTAAACTTTTCACTTTGCCTTCTTCCAAAAGGAGATCGTGAGATTTACTCCGCGGCAATTGATGCAACATTTGAAAGTAGGGTAAATTTTGACCGAGAAACTTGGACGTGACTTCTTCCCCCTTGTAATCCGACTCGTCCGTCAAACCGCATTCTTCTTCCGTCGTCGACGATACGTTCGATAGTTTTTGACTCAGTCGTTTGTGGTACCTCGATTTGTGACTGCTGCTTATGCTTCCCTCGCCGCTGCTATTACTCGATACTTCGTGCATCAAAGCGACCAAACGACTCCCGATGTGATGCATGACTTTGGCAAAGAGAGGAGGAGAACTGTGAGGAGCCGTCGAGAACGGATTTTCATTTTCGTTTGTGAACTTGTTGAAGGAAGCAACTAATTTTTGGTAAACTAAAGCCGTTTCCCGATTCATGGGCGATGAATTCCTTCTCGGCGGTGCTTTGGGCCTCTGCTCTTGATTGTCATTCTTCGACTGATCGAATTTGTCGATTATCTGTTTGCAACTTTCCGATATTTCCTGTTGCAATTGAGATCTTTGATGATAGTAGGCTGCGGTTCCCTCCAAATCCGAACTCGTGTAATCTGACGAATCGTACGAATCGCTCCACGTGTCTTCGCTCGACAAATACTCGACTATTTCTCTCACTTGATCATCTCGAATTCCGGGCACGGTTTTCATCAAGCGCGTCAATTCACTTTCGAAATACACTAATTGCGGGGGTTTGACACCTTTCGGTTTTATCTGAGGACTCGGAGGATTTGAATTTTCCGGCATTTTATTATTACTATTATTACTATTATTACTATTATTATTATTATTAGAAGTTTTAGGAACGGAAACCATGGCTTTGAAAAACTGACGCATTTTCGACATCATTAAATTCGTTTCCTCGTCCGACGACCAATTGTTAAACGAATCCTTACGAGTCAGGTTCGTCGCGGGCGGAGTCGAACCTATGACGTTTGACGATTGCAAATGATTCACGGGCGGGGAAGAAGGATTTTGAATTTCTTTGACGTCACTTAAAATCTTATCATCCATTTTTTCCGAGCTTTTCTTTTTCGTGTCGCTCCCGCTGCTGTCTCCCGTTTTTTGATCTTTTAACAAATCGTCACAGCTTCCGATGAATCCGCTGTCTCTGCTCTGTTGCTTGTCTCTGTTCATGCTCGAATCGAGCAAGAAATCCGGTTGCGGAGTTTTCGATCTTTCGTCATCGTCGTCGCTTCCCTCATCATCGAAATTTCCATTTTTCCCATTGTTGTCTTTGACCTCGTGACTTCCCTTTCCGTCTTCTTTCGCTTCTTTGTGCCGGTGTTCCTTGGATAGGGATTCGCGACTTTCTTTAACGACGACAACAACGTCACCGTCTCCTTTCTTATCGCCGCCGCCATCTTGAATGGAAAGCGGCAAGTTGCCACCGGATATTTTCCGTTTCTTTTTCCTCTTGACGGAATCGTCGGATTTGTCGACGCTTTGCAAATCAATCGTTTCCGTTTCCGTGCTCGAATCTTCGGAATCCAGCATCATGTCGACGGATTGCTGTTCGTTTTCACTTTGAACTAAATTATCTAATGAACTAGAATGTAAACGATTGCTCGCTCTCGCTCGAAACAATCTTTTCCTACGTTGTTCGGGGCTCGGAGGACCCTCGCTGTCGCTTCCGACGCTTCCGTCGCTCTCCTTTTCCCTGCCGTCTCTGTCGAAATTCAAAAAATATTTTTCTAATCTAGACGTCGAAAGTTGATTTTGATCCGAATTTTCTCTCATGGGTTCTCCGCTCGCATCATCCATGACTCCGCTGTCCGAATAAATGCTGCTCGAACTCTCCGAAAACGTATCGGCATCTTGATTTTCTAAATTTGGCGTCGCGCCTCCGCCTATATCGAAATAAAAATATTTTTCCAAATCCGTCACCGATGTCGGCCTTTGATTATTTTTCTCCTCGGCCGCCGATTTCGTTTTATCCTCCACTTCGCTATCTTCGCAACTTTCTTCGACTATCGTGTGCAGAGTGAAATTGATCGCACTCCTGTGATAACCCCTTAAATCTTCTTCCCTGTCGCCGTGTATCGGTATGCAATTACCGATGTGCGTGCTTTCGTCACCCGAAGAACTATCTTCTTCCGTTATGGCGTTAACGAAATCATTATCTCTATCTTTGTCTAATTCTTCGACCCACGAATCGTCATCCGCTAAACCTTCTTCGAGACAAATGACGGCCGACAGCGTCTTGTCATCCGTCACGACTCGAACCTCTTCTTTCAAATCGTTGTCTCCCCCCTCGTCTTCTTCCTTGAGCGGAGTCATGTTTTTGATGACGTTTGGTTTTTTCGGTGTCACGCTCAATCCGCGGGAATTTTCCAACGTCATCGTAAAATAATCTTCCAAACCTTTCAATTTGTTGTGAACGTTAAGTTGTGAGTCGTCGTCGTCGTCGACGCGTTCGTCGTATTTTCGATTCGTGTGTTTTAAAAAAATTTCGTTTTCGAATTCGTTCGAATTATCACCGTTCAAAACTTTTGTCGTTTGATTCGTTATCACTTTCACAGAATCCGTATTATTATTATTATTATTACCGTTCGATACGTCGTTCAATAATTTTGTTTTCTTGTTTTCATCATTAATTTTATCTTGCGTTATCATAACCAAACTTGTGTATTTATTATTTTCGTTACCCTGAATTCGATCCCCGATATTGTTGTTATCCGATTGCGAAATTTTTCGTATCCTGTTTTCGATTGTATCCGAAAATGAGAAGCCATTTTTATTAACTGATATCACATCGACGGTTTCAACGATTTCATCACATCGAATCGAATTCACATCATCATCATCATCATCATCATTATTTTTATTGCATTTTTTTTCACTTTTATTCGGGTCGTCGTTCAAACGCGACGGTCCTATGGATTTTTCTAGTAAAACACCATTTATTATAACATCACTACTTTTATCCGCTTTGTGATTGACGTCACCACCACCACCATCGTCATCATTATCATCATCATCACGTTCATTTTTTCTTAAACGTTCGTCGTTTTCATCGTTTCCACTTTTTCCACTTTCCGTCAAGTGAAAACCGTTCGATTTTTCCAAGGCTGACGAACTCGAAACGTTTTTTTTCACGACGGACTCAAATGAAACGGATTTAATTTCACTAAAAACTGGCTCTGATGTATTACGATCGTCGAGCACGTCAGGCACGCTTACAGGTACGATTTCACACTGAGTGAAACCGCCGAAGCGCTCCGACTCCGCATCGGACAGGTTTGTAACTAAAATAACGGGGTCTCCGCCGTCCTCGACGTTTTTAACTTTTCCTTCGCCTGATTTTTCCACGTTATGCACATGTTGGTACGGAAAAGTATTTTCTCCTTGAATTAAGTCTTGAACGTCGAACGTCGAACGTTCGGAATCCGTTTTTTTCCCGCTTTGACATCGATTTGACGAAACGTCGTCAACAATTTCGTCGTCCGTAATTTTTTTAGAGTGTTTTAACAAAACGACGTTCGGTACGTCATCGGAATTATCATCGCCATCGGAATCCGTGTCGTCACTTAAAACCGAAACTTTTTTCACGTTCGGTAAAACGTTCTTGAGTTTTTTTCTTAGATTTCTAGTTCGCGGCGGAACGTCGTGACCATCAATCCGCCGTTCATTCCCATTCAAATCCTCGGATAAAGTCCTGAGATCGTTTTCGGATTTAGACGGATTAACGACGTAAATTTCTGAAAATCTCGAATCGGGATTACCCTCATCTTCGGATCCCGTAGAATTTCCACGTGATGAATTTTCCGTTTTCGTTTCTTCTCCGTCGTCGTCTTCCTCTCCCGAGTGGCTCAAATCCGCAATGTCGCTGTCGTCGCTTGTTTTCCTCACCGTTTCGTCCATATTGAAATAATACGTTTTGCGAAAGGGTTTTCGCGGCGTCGCAACATTGTCATCATCATCCGACGAATTCGACGACGACGACGACGAACTGCACACGGATTGTTTGTCGATGTTCAATAGGAAATTTTCAATCGATTCGCAATTTGTCGTTTCTCCGACGATAATAATATTTTTGTAATCTATCGGCGGTTTAGTTATCATCTCGTCCGCGATATCCTTTGATGTCGTCGATAAGACATTTTCGCAGGTGTCGTTGGTGCTCACAGGTAAAAACAAATCGGGTGGTGGTTTTCCCTCCTCTTCCCCGTCCTTTTTTCCATCTTCACCATTCGAAATTGTTCCCCTGCTCGATACAGCCGATTTGGAAGAATCGCATTCAGTTGACGAATCTTGTTTCAAACAACTGTTTTCGTTCAACAACGCCATTTTTCTCTCCTCCTCCTCCTCCTCCTCCTTCACCTCCTCTTCCTGATTTTTCAATTTATTTAATGCCGTTGAATTTTTTTCGGTTTTGTCGCCGTCGTTAACAATTAATTTTTTTTCATCCTCGCGACTCTCCTTGTTTTCTTCGACTGAATAATAATAATCTTCTTTTATCGCTTTTAAAGTTTCCTTATCATCTTGAATTTGTCGTTGTTGTTGTTGTTGTTGTTGTTGTTGCTTACTAGCAGTGAACCATTTGAGATTCGATTCGTCTAAATTCACCGAGCCTTGACTCAAATCGTGACGTAGGGAACCCGCTGTGAGAGCAGGACGTTGCATGTTGATAGGTCTCATGTGAATGGAATTGTTTCCGGTTCCGTTGGAACATATCCCGTCCGCTTTGAAACCGGATATTTCTTTGTTACCATTTTTCGTTTGACTCCCGAAATTGTCGTTCAACACGGTTCCAGAACAGATATTTTGTAAATTGTTTAAAAAATCAATGTTGTCGGAATTTAAATTGAAATTGGAAAAGAACAAATTTTGATAATTCTGAGACCAAATGGTTGCCGGAACGGGAAATGGAACGGGTATGAGTACCGGAACGGGAATCGGTACGAAATTTTGAACGGAGGCGGAATTTTGAAAAACGCTCGATAGGGGGCAGTCGTATGGGAAAACGCCCGAACCGAATTGCGACTGAGGTGAAGGTGAAATGAGATTTTGCGGCTGGAAACCGAAACTACCCGTTGGAAAAGTGTATTTGCTCTCCGGAATGATATCATCACTTTTAACCTTATCATCATCACTTTCTTCTCCCGACACTAATTCATTTTTAATTAAATCCTTAACGTTTTCTTTTAAATTATCTAATTTACCGCGCTTGACAACGTCGACGAATTTTTTACTCTTGTTCTGCTTGTTGTGACTTTTGTTTTGTTTGTTGTTGGGCTCTTCCCGTCCGTTGAAATCCTCGGGTTTACGATTAACAACACCCGGCGAATTCGATACCGTTTTTTCAACTGAATCCACCGTGGAAATTACGTTAACCGAACTGACGCCATCTGGTGACACGTTGTTTGCGTCTGCTGCTACTACTGCCTCCTTCTCTTCCTCCTCCACCTCCTCTTTCTCTTCGCTCGACCCCGATATACCACCACGCTCCAATGACCCGGGTGAAATTTGATCTTCCGGTAGTACTGAATTTTTATCTTTTTCAATAATGACGTTTTCATTTGTTTTTTTTCCATCGGTTGTTGTTGTTGTTGTTGTTCGACCCAAAGATTCTCCCATTTCTTCATCATCCTTCGTAACGTTTTTCTTCAACTTTTTGTTTTTCCTCTTTTTCTTACTCTTTTTCACTTCTTCCGTCGTACCCGAAACGGGATTTTCCCCATTTGCACTCTCTCCCGTTTGATTTTCCTTTTCCTTGACACCAAACAATTCTTTATTTTTCACGGGTGGAAATACTTTCAAATCGGTCACTTCGATTTCTTTTTCTTCGCTTTGATAATTCTCGGTCGAATCGTCATTTTTGACATCGGACTCTCCCGATTTGTACTTGACGACTCCATCGTCGACTCCATCATCTAAAATTTTCCTCCTATTCAAATTGGGAGAAAACCCGCTCACGTCTGTGTCGTACGAAATGGGAGAATCTCTCACGGATGACAATTTACTCTGACCACGTCTTGGGAATTTAGGACTGTTATCGTCGCTCGTTGAAAAAACGGGACTTCCCCTTTCCAAAAGCGTACCGCTCAAACTCCTCGGCGAACCCTGCCAACTCCAATCTTTTATTATGGGTCGAACGACGGAAGATGATTCGAAATAATCCCAATCGCAATCGGATGCGAGTTTTTTAGATGAATCCGTACCGGATTCCGCCGAACCCGTATCCGAATCCGTCGTCGATATGGATCTGTTTTCTTTCGCAGACGAATCCGAGCTGATGAAAACAATTTTATAATCGTCGGAAACCGGCCATATTTTCCCAACGACTTCCAAATACGATCCGATTTCAACGAAATCCAAACATGTCGTCCTGTTTTTCTCGGCGTCCAATTTTGTCGCGAGAAAATCACTTCTACTACATTTTTGCTTCGGATACACTTTTTCCGTTACGGCCCGACTCGACTCCATTTGATTTTCCGCAATCATTTCCCTCGGTTCGAGTTTGACGGA